CTTCCGATAACGCCCTCCCAAGAGATTGCCTAATCTCGCGTGTGCACGACGTTAATTATGACTCCTAGGAAAATGACTATCAGGGGTTCAAACTTGCTCTATAGACCGAGCCTAGAATAGAGATACGCTACGTCACGCTCGAGCACTATGTTGGATGTTACCGTAGGCTATCTGCTACCTGCTCGCAGGTGTGTGTTCCTACACAAGCATATCTGTATCTATAGCTAGAACGGCTAATCTCGTTTCTACGTACAGGGTGTCCCAGTGTTACCGTCGAATTTGTTACAAAGGTTTACGAGTGCAGCCAAATTAAAAAGCTCGCACCCGGATGAACACATATATGGCTGCGATAACTTTGAATTTAGTAGATTTTACAATTTGATATTGTATAATAGATTGTCACTAACAGTTTACAAACACTCGCGAGTTATATGTAAAAATTAGATGCTGCAGATTAAAATATTGGCATATGAAAGTGCGATTATTGTTGGTAATAAAAGTAATAAAATAAATCTCTTCTTTAGTATTGAAAAGTTTATGCTGTTCGTGCTCATGTATATACAAGTTATATAATACCTCTATTTTTGAGGATTAGGGATTATATCTGACTAAAAGTAATGTTTTATTATTTACGATGTTGGCTATATAATCCTTCTTTAAAGATTGACGAAGCATGTATCCGATTATAACTAATTCTTCAGGCTTGTAAAATAAATCTCACATCTGTCCAGCAGGCAAAATTATAATTAAAGTTTTCGAATTTTGCCTCTACAAAGTTATTATCTACCCCCCCAAAAAAAAACAAAAATACATTTTTAATACACTCAAAATTAATAAAAGAAAGATTTTTTGTAAAAATATTTAATAGTTAATTAGTTTTAAATCTTTGCTAACTGATTACGTAAAATGCAAAGAGAAAAGGTATACTAAGAAATGTAAGATTATTGCGAAGTAATATCAATTTTATAATATCTTATAATTTACCTCTTTTATTTTATATTTTTATTAAGTTTAATCTTTCTTTCTATTAAAGAAATTAAACTTTACATTAATCTGTTGAATAAATGGCAGACTATCTTGAAATGTTTATGATGGCGTATTATAACATTCGCTTCATAATTCAAGTTTAACTCTTTTTTTATTAAAAGGATTAAACTCACGATCGCAAAGGTGCGGTATCGTGAAAAACGGACTTGCAAAAATTTATTTTGTTCCGAATATTGGAATCGATCAAAAAATACCAATAATAAAAAATATCATTTATACACCGATGTATATTTCAGTTTTGTATAAACAAAAAACCTATTTTCACGCGGCAGCATTTCGCATGTCAAAAAACATACATCGAATGTCAATTGCATATTGTGTTTAGTAGCAACGTAACCATATAATTCGTTTAAAAAATATATACATAGGGGCGACCCGACAGAGATATGGCTTCCATTGGTCGTGTTAAACGCAGTACCGCGGCGACTCTTAACCTCGCACATCGCAGACAGAAAAGAAATGCGTAATGCGATCGTCACGACGAACTGCTAAGGATGAAAATTATTCGAAGGAAAATTTTGTGAAGCAACAAAAGACGTTAATGTTAAGATGTTTGTTCATTAACAAACATTATTTGTGAGATAGAATTATTCAGAAATGGTGAAACTTTTCGGGGCGATAGAACTCTTCAAGGACAGTCAATCACGAACAAAAATTACGCTGGTGGAGTAGAGTTTTTCAGAACAACGAAATTATCCGTGGGAAAATCGATGCTTGCGACTAAAGTGGCAAGTTCTTCACCAAGAGTAAAATAGACCCTGACGTACGTCTATAATCATAAAAATTGGAGCAGCAAAGCTAAAGAGGGTTGACGCGTGTTTCGTGCCGATTGTCAAAGACCAAAGTGATGCTTGACACGCGACTGAATATTCAATCAAAATTGATGACTGGAAGGGTAAATAAAATTTTCGTGAAGAATGCCCTTCATGCAAAACGATGCTTATCGCACTGACATGACGTCATCCAAGATTGAATGCTGAATACCGATCACTAATCGGCTAATTACAGAAGTAATAGAATTGTTATTAAGATGTTATTAAGATAAGAGAAATAATAGAAATAATATCAAACAGCGATGTAAAGAATTATATAATCTCACCATTATCTCTTTTTGCTTCTAATCTTCGTAATGTTAAATAAATAAGTAATGAACTAATGCGATATGTATTCTACAAGTCTTCGAAATAATATTATTGATGAAGACTATAAGCGTATAAAATAAAAGTTAAAACAAAAAAATGTTAGAGATTATTTAATCATGTTCTACGATTAATTAAACGATGGCAAATGATATGCTGCTCAAGGCTTCGTTTTTGCTGAGTGTGGTTCCGTTAACTTTGACTACGGACGAGCAAATCGTGTGCTCTAAAAACAGCACGATATTGGAGACCACGGGTGATGCTATTTTAACCGGTAAGCCGTCAATTTATTCCAATCAATTTGATCTAAATCTAAAAGCTACTATACATGATTTATGCTTAGAATAGAATTGGTTATCTAATTACAGCGTATTTTACTAAATTTTTAATTATGTATGCTGTGTAAATAACGTTATACATTATTTGCAATCAAAATTGTTTTCTTAAAAAATCTAAAAATATTTTATAAATTTTAATTGAATATTTTTACACGTGTAAATAGAGAAATAAACAAGTTTTACATTCTCATTAATAATTATTGATATTTAATTAATTATTGATATTTAATTAGTCTTCGTGGACGCCAATTATGGACAGTATTGCAACATATCATCAGTTAAGGGTCTCCAACAAATATCAACGGCGCTACATGTAGTGCGGACTTTGAACAAATATGACTACGTACCGGGTGTGAAATTGGGTGAGCAAAGTAAACTTTCCGTTATCCATTTGTCAAACAATTTACTGTACTATGCAATGACAAACAGAGATAATTGTAAATAATTATAAATATGCGTCTAAGTAATTATTTAAAAATCGTTTTAAAAAATTGCAAGCAATGACTAACATAATAAGTTATTCATTGTATCAAAATATTTTAAATAAAATTTCGAATTAAATAAACATATAAACTATTGATTGTGAAATATTTTCGAGAATGTGTCATTTCAAGTATATCTGTAGTAATTATTTGCATAAATATTTTTGGTTGAGGCGATCCTTGAGGCATAAATTCTCATAAATTAACGCATCTCTTACACAGGATTAAGATTCCTCGACACGTGTCAAGATGGGATTACGGTGTTCAGGCAGGCTTTGCGAACAGCGGTCGAGCGAAATTGCGCACCGGACTATGAGATGGGCGTACTGGTGCCGTTCCAGTATGGTCCTACAGTGGATTCCCTACGCTATTACGGCGGTTTGCTTATTAACACCTACGGGGAACGGAATTTCACGGAGCCTACAATTGACATTTTAGCGCACTACCTAAGCACAAGGCACGAGATCGTCGATCTAGTGCTCGCCAATGCGAACCACATTCTCGATCGTTTCCTGAAGATCACTAGAAATGCCGGTGTATGCGTAAAGCGACATGACAAGCATGTCAACGATAATAAGGACACGAACGTCACGGAAGCAGTGATAATCGCGATCGGCGAGGGAAGTGACATACAACAATGGTTACGAGAGAGCGAGAAATCGAAGGATTCCAAGAAGACGTGGCTTCTGTTGCCGCTCGATAATCCGGACATTGATGGTAAGTAATTTTAGGCGTCTACGAACGATGAAAAAAAATTACAAAGGACAATTTATTCCTCGTGCGCTTTTATTTTATAAAATAAAATGTCATTTTGTTAAAAGAAGAATATTTTTGCGGCACCTTCATATTTCTTACCGCACTTTATCAGTGACTATTTATTTGCGGTAAGAGACAAGAGTTGCTAGATGTTGATTTCACCTAAACTACGCCATTTAAATAAATATTGTAGTTTCGAGCTCGTAACAGTAGTTACATTACCCAAGTTTAATCGTAGTAGTTGAGAGTTAAGAGGCAGTTTCACCAACGTCGCTTAACTTTAACCTTAGTTTAAGCGATCCTTTGTTTCTGTCTAGAATTAAAACTAAGATTAAACAACGAGACAGTTAAATTGCAATTAAGGTCAACTGATGTTGCTAAGGTCATTAAATTAATATACGCAAATTTCAAATCACGCGACAATAAGTTTTAATTTTGGAGCAAAACGCATGTCGAGAAAAAATTTATTCATATCTTAAATTTTTTTTTCTAATAATTAAAAATTTTTATTATATTTATAAATATGTAACAAGTATTATATTTATAAATTATTATGTTATTACTTGAACGCTAATCATAAATCTTACACTGAAATTAGCACACGAGAAACATTAATCTTTTAACGCCGACAACATCTTAAACTTTCTAGATCTTATACCATCCGGATCGTACATCATCAAACCGGAAACTCCTTTCTCCGATTTCGGCGAATTCTCAAACATGGACGAATTTCTAGAGAACACTACAAATTTCGCAAACTACTCTCCGTATCTCATCGGTATCGGCGGAGCCGTTGTCGAACTAGCAGACGTTCTCCAGGACATTCAGAAAGGAAACTGGTCTATCGATGACGAGGAGAGTTGTGTCGCGTCACAGTTTCATCCAGAATCGAGGCGTGAAATTCGTGATTCCGATGTCTACAAGGCTCTGCACATACAACCGAAATCGCACTCGGTAAAATACGTCGTCGCCACGAAGACGCAGCACGGGCTCGTCAATGTCGCTTTCTACAAAATTGAAATGTCTAAGTTGCGCGTTCATCCGGAGAGAATAATATCCGAAATGCCGGGGCTCTGCTTGGGCAATCTCGTTGGGAATTGCGAGAACTGCACGAATTTTCGTGGGCGCTCCGACACGCCTGTTATTGCGAAAGACAAAAGTAAGATAAATAACATAAATATAATTGCTGCCAATAATAATGTGCGATGCATTAGACACGAATAAAATTTTCATAAGATTTCTGCCATAGAATTTAAGTTTCTTAAATTTTCATAAATTTCTTTTTATTTGTTAAATTTACTTCATCGCGATCTCTTGAAATCAAAATTGTATGCTCGCATTCTATTGCTTGCATAATTGAAGGAAATCAACTCGATTGCTTCGATTGATTCAAATGATCAGATTGTTTTCATATAATGCGCAGCTTTCCAAAGAGACAATATATACGTATCGAAGAGATCAATTCTACGTTTCAGCAGACGTCACCGGCAGAAGCGTCCTCAAGAACACCGTCTACGTTCCTATTTTCCTGATCGCTATTGTGTGCGGTACGCTCGCGTGCTGCGTCATCGTGATCTTTATTGTCCGCCGTTTCGCGACCGACGAGATGCTCGACGGCAATCCGACCCTCACGATTGTCCTCATCCTGGCCAACATGTTTACCTTGCTAACAACGCTGCCCTTCTGCATGACGGACGATTATTTCGGCACGGAGAATCTCAATGCTCGTAAGATTCTGCTGACTACTCTCGCATTCGGCCTCACGTTCTCGATCATGCTCTCGAGAGCACTCTTTCTAGCCTTGTCCTCGGGCGATGTTTTCATCGCTCATATTAACGGATATCTGCAGAGTCTCATGACGTTCTTTATGTGCGGCGTGCAAGTCGCGATGTCGATTATATATTTCGTTCTGAATACCACGGAATCAGCCGTTATCGTCAGAAGCCCTATCTTTCTTGCATTATTAGGTACGTTAGTAATAATTTTCGTAAGTAAGCTGCGATTTAAAGATCATAGTTTCGTATATAAATTATTTTGGCATTATTTCTGCCTGGAAATTTTACATGATTTAATTTATTTTCTTTTGCTTCTTACATACAAATTAAATTTCTTTTTCCTTTTGCTTAAATCAACTTCATCAATCTCTCTAAATAAAATTCAAACTTTGTTTTCAGGATACGACATGTTTTTATTGCTTGCGCTGTTCGTCGCTTGCTGCTTCATCACGCAGGTACAACGCAACTATCGCGAGGGGAAATTTTTCTTCGGCACTGCCATCAGCTTGCTGGTAGTATGGGCGATATGGCTGATTTGCTTTGTATTAATGCAGCCGGAGAATCGTGACACGATTGTCTCCTTCGGCACAATCGGCACAGCTTACTCAATTATCTTCGGTGTCTTAATACCAAGAGTTTATTATATGACCACGCATCCCCTTAGAAGCAAAAACCCCGGACAAAGATTCGATCCCATCGATATATCACCCGATTCGATTGTCAACACGATCATCAGACAGGTCAGAATGCTGCACGTATCTGATTATTAATATTTTTAAGAAATCAATTTTAATAGAAACTAATTTAAAATATTAATTTTGTGATTCTAATAATTTGCATTATTAGTTGCTAAAATTTAATTAATAATTGAAGAAATGTTTTATTTAATTTATATTGTAGAGAGAAATAATTCAATATGTTAAAAACAATTTAATTTTTTTATGAATAATAAAAAAGCTCAATTTCCAGTCACGTTACTCCTACGATAACGTTTATCCTGCTCATGAAAGTCAAGTTCCACGAACGCCACCGACATGTTTGGATTATTACGGCAATCCAAGCCCGGGCTCGAAATACCACGATCGATGGAGAAGTGCGAATCACCGCGAAATGCCTGGCTACAGTAATTACGGATTTCAAACGGAAATGAAGGAGATCGACAGTGCTCACGTCGCGCCGCGAACACGCATTGAGAACAAAGAGGTAAATAATTAGACTGTGAAAGTCTATTTCAATTTCTATAGAAGTCCAAATTTAATTAACTATGTCTCTACATAGACAAATAATAAGAATAATAAGAAAATTCTAGATAAAACGTTATTTTTGTTGTAACATGCGCAACAAATGAATAAAATATGCGATTTATGTTTCATGTTAATGATCAAATTACGTGAAAATTTTTTCTAATTTATGTGTATAAAAGCGCGAAAGTTATTTTTGACATTCTTGTAAATTTCCAGTCTCTAAGAAATCTTGAAGTGGCACCAAATGACGTCATTTACACGCAGCCAAAAATCTATAGATCGCAGAGGATAGTTTTGGGAGAAAACAGCAATATAAAAAGCACTTGTAATAGACATAATTTGTCACCTATCACTAAACCACATCACGAAATGTATCCTATAAGATATGCTAGCCCAATAAATATAGCGAGGACAGAAAGAATCAACGAGGAGGACGAGGACGAAGACGAAAACGACGAGGAGTATCGGGAAGATCAGGAGGACGAAGACGCCAGCAGAGTTACCCGCTTTTGACAGTTTTACCTAATTTGTATTCATTTTAATATCCTGCGTTACGAAAAAGCTTGTAAATTTTTCATCAAACAAATAAATAACTTTCTAATTAGACACTTAAGAAAAATTGACAGTTTCCAAAACTTTTAAAAAATTAAAGTGACTGAAAAGTTCATCAGTAAACAAAGTATGTAATTTGTAAGTATAAGATTCTAGTTCTCTATTTTTTTTTTTAATCTTCTCTCTGCTTAGTAACCTTGAGTATCTGAAATTTCGCTAACCATCGAATTCTATTGTAATTATTGGCGAACTCGCTGGCCAATTCGAGGACGGAAGTCCGTCACTGCATTAAGCGAGGCGGACACGAGCGGAAAGCTGCGCCGTGTGCGGCACAGAATCAATTTGGCGTGTACCTCAACGCCAAAATTGCATTATGGTCGATCGTAATTTCGCAAGCAGGGTACAGGTGTGTGCTCCGCGAGAATATCGATGACGAGATAGCGAGATAGCGGGTGCACAACAAAGGGACTCGCGAAAATGAAGTTTGCGCTCACCGCAGTGTGACGTATGAGAGGACAATTTGCCGTCTGCACGAACGTTTTTCCTTATCTTATTTCTCTCCGATATTAAAAATGTAACATATAATAAATTAGATGTTGTACACGTGATCGTCTATATTGTTAACATCTCGAGTTTGAAGATTAAATAATTTAACAACTTTGCAGTTAATTTTTCATTAACAAATATCTGTTTGGAACATTAGAAATCTTGTAATAAAAGTACAAATAAATAAATTTTTGCATAAATAAAATTTATCTGTAGCAAAATAATTAAACTGAGCTTTCTTATCAATTAAATTTATATTATAAATTTTAACTTCTCAAGAATGTTATATTTAGAAATTAATTTTCAACTTTTTATAACTTAGAAATGTATTATTTAATAATAAATAAAAATAAAGTACAGTTGTACAAAAATCGCTGATTTTACCGTTGAGTTTACCGTAAAACTCGATATTAAAGTAAAATTCTAGATTCGTAATATTTTCCAATTTCAACTGATCATAGAAACTTCACACGTTCGAAAGAAATACACATACGTGACACTCCGAAAATTCTATCAAACGCGCGCAGCTTGTCAGTGTCGTCGCCACCGTTCTCCGATGGTTTACTGCCATATGCGTCATGGTTTATTTCCACATCATGAGACCACCATGAAAACCGCGAAAATCAGACCGGCTGGCGACGGCCGATAAGCCGCTATAATGGAGATAAATCGAAAAGTGCATCGGCTCGTGAAAGGGTGCGCCATTCCAGACCAACCTTCACGTTGCCCCCCATGAAAAAGCTTCTGCGCAAGGACGAGCTTCAGCGGCTATAAAAGCCCGTACGAGACTCGTCTGCTTTCCAGTCACGTTTAGAGCCGCCTTTCAAGTGACGAAAAAAAAAGAAAAGTGGAATTCGAGCTACTTGAATTACGTGCGCTTATCAGGCCGAAACGAAAAAAAAAGAGAGAAAACGAAATTCGATTGCCGAATTTATCGACATTCGAAAGGAAGATTCGTCCTGACCGTCGAGTAAATAGATTGAAGGAAATATAGACTAAAGAACAAATAATCTCAAAGAACAAATAATGGAATAACGGAGTTTCTATCACTTAATTTACACCTTGATTCTCTTCTCGCGAATCTTTTCTTGAAAAATTCAATTGATTCGATATTGAATTAATCATGAAATTGTTAATTTAACCGTTAA